CACACACAGTATAGCAGTATTCTGTGTGAACGATATGACCGCTAAAGCACAGCAGCCTTTCCAAGGTGACATCTAGTGTTTGCTGTGTTTAATCTCTCGAGTCCAGCGGTCTCATCTGGAGTTCTGCGTTCTGTTTATCAGCTGCTTTTTCGGATGTTAAAGAGCGATAACTCGTAAAGGTCCCGGCCTGTATCCGCCGGGACACGTTTCTTCATTCAAAGGTTCGGCTGCAAACAGAAGAAAAGAAGAAGGAAAAACAGGCCGTGTTTTGGGTCCGCTGGCGGCGCTTCATCGTTTAAACGTGTTACCAAATAAGGGCACGTGGAGTTTAGGGCTACATTTAAAGCGCACCTTGCTACTTTTTCTGTCACTTCTTTTACATTTTCCTTTCGGACACATGTTTTTTTGGGGGGGGTGGAGGAGGGGGTGTAGTTTGTTCGGCCGGCTAGAAGCGAGTCCCCCCCCCCGGTTTTAGCTGGTCAGTAACGGCTTGGAAGCGCGGACTTGTAACGTTACCTCGGAGTCGCTCCTCGCATCCATGGCCGCCGGCGTTCTGGGACGTTTCCCCCCTCGCGGAGCATAAATCCCCCTTCGGATGCGCGCTGGCAAAACCGCCGCTGTCGGCCTTTTTTTTGTGTGCCGGAAACCTTCCCCTTCTCAATAAACTCCCATTTATGTCTTTCCAACCAAAACCGACAAAAAAGTTGGGGAGGGGGTGAGTGCGGGGGGGGGGACCCTTCTGCCTCCCCTCTCTCAGACCGCTGCAGAGGGGAAGGCAGGGCTTGTTGCCCTGGAGACGGGCTGTTTGCCCCCCCACTTTTCCTCTGGATTCTGCCCTCCTCACACAGGCATTCAGCCGCTCTCTCTCTCTTGTTTATTGTCCCGGTGGGGCCGAGGAGTGTGGATGAATATTCACCAGTTGGAGCACATGTTGCCAGCTATGCACCACATTGTCCGGTTGACCCCCCCCACCCCACACCTCACCCCCCTCACCCCCCCACGCACACACTACTTGGCACATGGGAAAACATTTCAACCAGCGCACAAAGATGTCTTTCATTGGTCAGGGATGGGTGTGTAACCAAGCAGCAAGACACTGTGTTTCGGAGAAAGTATTCAGATTTTTCACTGTGTGTCATCGCATTAAAATGCATTTAGTCCATAAGGGGTAAATGTACTCATTGTGCAGAGCGGGTCTTTTCAGAAGGGACCATTATTCATAAATGTATTTTAGTTGCAGTAATAGTAGAAATGGAAATAGAGTAGAGTATGAGCGCCTCATAACTGTTCTTAAGTACAGTGGTTAAATACTGTACTTGCATTCCACCACAGCTAGAGAGCAGTCGCAGTGACCGAGCTCTTAATCAAAGACATTGGGCAGCAGTGGAAAAATAAATATTGGGTTCCATGAAAAGTCATTTATTTGGAGGTGACCGGACAAACGTTTTGTTATCAACCAAATGTGCTTTAATTAAGTATGTTATGTTTTTACTAAAGAGCAAATACCACTTAAAGAGTTAAACCCAGTGGAAATGCTGTTCCTTGCAGCAGCGATGCAGAGATGTGCAGCAGAACCTCGTCTACAGGTGCAACGCGGCTCCTGTCGGGAGACGCAGCCTGGTTTTAAGTTACTCTTCAAAAGTACTTGAACAAATGTGCGTATATTACATTCCACTGTTGCGTATGTTTCAACATATTCTAAACATATCCTAAGTGGTTGGGCGTGCTTTAGAGCTGAACCACAGGCCTAAACTTGAGGTGACCACAAAAATGAAAATATTCAACCATAACATAATATCCCTCCTGGGTCTGAGCCGTTTAACTCTCTTTGTGCTTCGGTTCTGGAGCGTTCACTGAATAACAAAGAGCAGCTTTTCTAATGTAAGCTCACACATCTCGACGTGTATACTTTGTGGATGTTTATTTGGATGTTCATCGACTGTGTACGTAGCACCTTGCTAGATCACAAGTATCAGTGCTTCAAACTAAACGTGACATAAATAGTTACATTTCTTTCAAGAAATACAATGTATTGATCAAAGCTGATCGAAACAATCACACAACAAAACAATTATATGACAGGGAACTTCCTCCTGAAATGGATCCTCTTTTAACACACATTCACCGCTTCGATACATGAACTGCTTACAAATACTAGAGTTAAAGCTCCAGAACAAACAAGTAAAGGGACCTCGATTGGAAAGTTTTGTCGTGCACAATTTCAACTGTACACCTCGGCACCAAAACGGTATGTCTTTTTTTAAGATATATATTTAACTGTGAAAGTGCTTCTGTTTTTTTTTTTCATGGCTCAAGGTATCAAACATGGACTCCTATGACATGCTGCTACGTCAGACATCTTTACATCAAATGTCGTCGTCCATAGAACCTGTTTTCAGGCATCTTATCATCGGACTCAGAGCGAGTCACAAAAGCGAGTCACAAAACTCAGACATCCGTCATCCCGGTGCGTCACATTAAGTCAACAGGAGGCCGCCACTGTGTAGTTTTCTCAGTGACCCACTTAAAAGCCTTTTCAAGGTCTCATAAAAAGAATGTTCTCCCAGAAAACACTGCGAATCCTCACAGTCTGCGAACAAAAGACTGAGGCGGTGGCTCCTTTCTGTGCGATGTTTTACCAGAGGTTTGCACTCTCGTGGCTTTGTTTCCATTGATCGCACCGCCATCTGCATTTCTCATTGAAAGCCACATCCTCCTCTTGCCTGACATGGGAGCAACAAACAAAGTTCAAAACCGAGCATGACAAGCATCTGGACACAAACATTGTCTCGTCTTCGACGGGGCGCTCTACTGCACCGCGCCGGGCCTCAGAAACGTAACAAACACGACGTTTTTAGGGGGTGACCCGAGCTGACGCTGTGAATCTCAGGTCTGTCTTCCCACTCGCGTGACTAAACACCTGCTAAGGCCACAGCCGCAGGAGAAAGAGGGATTCATTTATCAGATGAAAACCGCCAATCGTGTGTGTGTGTGTGTTTGTTGAGGATCCACCGGGAATCCCAAATCCAAAACAGACAAGGCGGATTATTTGGCAGCTCTGTGGAGATTTTCCCACCTTCGTGTCAGATTCTTCCTCCAGCTTCTGCGAGTCCACGTGGTTAGAGGGAAGCTACAGAAACGTTGAACCCATTTGAAAACATAGGATCATCAAACACCATTATTGGGTTTTTAGCAACAGACCCGAGGCGGCTCTTCAACTCCAGGATTAAGTGGAGGCTGACGTGTCTAGTCAACACTTCCGACAGCACAGTCAGAGTTGTCAAGGAAAGACGTCCTCTCTTCTTTGAAACTGAAAAGTGTCTCCTTAACGGCATGCTGAAAATAACATGACTTCATTTTTCTAAAACTCAAATGCAAAACACGCAACACATTTGATCTGCCGTGGGAGAATAAAAGGCAATGTAAGCTGTTTGATTATTCATGTTTGCAGCCCGAGGCACACTTCAAACTTGTTTTGACTGTCTTACTCTTCATACGGTTCCCATTTCACCGTCTGCAAAAAATGGAGCGGATGGAAAATGATGCTGACTACATACTCCTTCAGTCATGCAAAGCTTGATTCTAACCAACAGACATCTGTAACCAGCTGGGAAAATCTGTGATTTATGAAATAATAATACAAAACGATTGTTTCCCACAGTACGCCCAGCGACAAGAAACCATCACACTGTGTCTACAGTCCTTTGCTGCAGTTTTCACAACACAATGTGGTACTGAGCCCCATTGTTCAGCACAAGGACAGTCCTTCATCTCACGCCATGTTCACTTTTCACCACACAGCAGCCACGACACCCGTCTGATGTCTGGCTCGGAAACCTTAAAGGCAAATGGAGCGTAATGGTGTAATGTTTAACACGCTGGAGTTTGTGCGTGCATGCGTGTGTGTGTGTTTGTGTTTGGCAAAATGTCAACCATTAAACTCACACTTGCTGAGACATGAAGGCAAAGGTAAACACAGGTGAGTGGGTACACACGGTCTGTGTACCAGACATCATTACTCTTAATGGATTAGATGCAAAGGCAAAGGCGCCCCCTGTAGGTTAAGTCGTGCACATGGAGCACTAAACACTTCAAATTACTACTTTTGCCCCTTGAACGTCAAACAGTGGATCAGACAATTTAACCGCATCGGTCAAAGTCAGCGTGTAATGCACAAGTTTATGTGAGTCAACAACACAATAGTCTACAAGACGCGACGAGTTGATTTTGTTCACCAACACGTCTGTCTGAAGATGCTACAAATACCGCAAGTTCCTTAAAAAAGGCAAGAAAATGTCGATATACACACATATACTACATTGGATGAGGCGGAAGCAACAGCTTACCTGTGTGCGTGGTGTGTGCTGTCGCAGCGTTTGCTCAGAGATCCATTCTTTAGGAGTCCGTGTCGCTTTGTGTCTGAACTGTCTGAAAAAGTGAATTTTTTTCTCTTTTTTTCCGGCGGAAAGTCTCCTCTGCATAACTGGATGCAACGCGAACGAAAAAAGGAAAAGTGGACTGCACAGGAAACGATGACGCTTATGTATGGAAATCACTTTGTTTGGTGAAATCTGAGAGGGAGGGTTGTCAAAAAAATCTGCAGGCAAAACTAACGTTGTCTTAGTTTAGAACATAATGCATTTTTGAATTGTTTTTAGGTAATAGGTAGAATCATGCCAACATACCAGTTATTTTAGAGGGGAGTGTTTCCCATGTGTCACATTGAACCGAAAATCTCCAGCAAAAAACAATAGAAATGCCCTAAATATCTGAGTTGGTGCACATCCTTCAGCAATTTTGCACACACATGTAAGATGAACCCAGAACACGGTATTATACCAGTACATTTGAATAATGCTGTGCAAGTGTGTTTAAAGGCAATGAGTGGGCTATACCATTTAAAGGTGCATCAGAATAGGATGTTGGTTGGTTGGTTGACATCAAATTATATAAACTAATGAGTTGCAAAGCAAAAAGACATTTGAACAAATGCAAGAATCTCAAGTATTACATCAATTTATTTGAAAGTTAAAGATAGAACATATACAATAGTCAAGAACACTTCCAGCGGTCTCCACACAATGACCTCCCGTTCACTCAGAATAACACCAGTCATACTAATGCTGCCTGATAGACAAGACCATCGTAATGGAACGGATGTTATACCAAACACGTAGAACAGCCCAAATATATATGACTACTCATTAGATTTGTTTAGACAGTTGAAGAAATCAAAGAATTCAAGAGTGTCAGACGAGGATCAGAAGCACAGCTACGATTACTATGACATCACCAAGAGATTGCATCGATTCTTGCAACACGGTTCAGTGCCACTACTTTTAGATGACAAATATAGTGTTATGTGTTATATGATGAATTTCACACCAGCTATCACACATTACACACAATGGTAGGAATGAAGGATTCAAAACGCATTTATAAAAGATTTATTATAAAACGTGCATTTTCAAAGAAGGCTGAAAGATTTATTTTGTACAGTTTTTCCTTCCTCAAGTGGTGCAAGCAGTGGTTTCGAAGTGATATTAGTTTTAAGTGTGGAAAGTACCAACCAGCTACAACAGGTCATGACTGCAGCCAGAGGGCTGCTCTCGTTATCCAGTTAACCAGGATGTTTTAGCCTGAAAGCCAAAAAATGCTTTAAAATATGAAAGCCTTGCTAGCTTTGGACTGAGGGGACCCCAAATGACACGATGGCCTTAGAGAATGCTACAAAATATCCACCTGAAAGATTTAATTTGATCTCACATTTATTAGTCGCTCCCATCAAGTCCTTAGCACTTCTTCAAACCGGACAGCAGGCAGAGAGTAAATTCTGCTTTTGGAAAAAGGCTCTTTAAGACTGTTTTTTAAAGATTGTGCAAAAAAGGGAGTCACTGTGATCTCTTGTGCTGCCCGCAGACTAAAGAGTTCCCAGCTTTGAATCGTACATTTAACAGGGACCTCTGCTCTACACATCCACATCTCCTCCCCCTGTTCACCTGGGAAGCGCCCGCTGTGTGAGATACAAACCACGGATGGACAGTTAGGAGGGGATATGAACTGAGGGCTCTGTCACAGTGATTTGTTTTTTCGCTCCACCTGTAGCTCTCGCTCCCAGAGGCAGTCTAACTGAGAACGACATGACGGTCGAACACAGACTTCCTCTGCTCCTGGACCTGCCTCCTCCAGCGCTGCTGGGCATGCTCCACTTTGTTCAGCATGTTCGGTCGAGAGTGTGAATGCGACAGAACGTTGTGAGCGTTGGCAAAAGGCTGCTGGTCCTAGAAAAAACACAGAATGGAAACCCCCCCAACACACACAGTTAGCTTTAGTGGGTAATTTGTAGGTTCATCTTGTAAGATTAGGAAAATGATCAGTACTTTATTAAATTCATTTTTGGTTTTGATTGCTGAGATAAAGTTCCCATGGTTGCTGACAGAAAGCCACATAATAAAAGTAAATGCCAGAACAAGATTGGGAGGATCACAGCCAAAACTGTGGCAAATAGATTGAGGAAAATAAACCAAGATTATCAGTTGGGGATCTTTTCTGAATAAACATCACAAGCCCACCATTTCCTCTATAATTAACATAGCAGCAGTACTTACCCGTATACTGGTTTTGCTTTTACATCTCTCCCCTTTGTATTGGTCCATAAACCAGCAACATCGCTACAATAAGTCTCAACTTTGGGTACATTAGATAAATGTAGTACTTTTAAAGTCATTTAAAGATTTTTATAGCAGAATTTTCCCAATTTTATTGCTGTGCCACAAATACAACAGTGTTAATTTTGGCAGCTATTTTTGATTTAGTCTTAGTCTTTAGACGAAAAATGCATATTAGTTTTAGTCACATTTAGTCATTTTAATCCTTCTTAGTTTTAGTCTAGTTTTCGTCACATTTAACAGCCATATTAAACTCCTTTTCTTCCCTTCTCAGGCCCAGGGACCCCCTGTGTTGTGTCTATAACTGCATAATAGTCTAGCTAGCAGTACTTGGTTGTCCATTAGATGTCCCTCCTAGGACAGGTCTATAGCAGCGGGCGGCAAACGTTTTGACTCGCGGGCCACAATGGGTTGTAAAATGTGACGGAGGAGCCGGGCCAAGAACAAACGGTTGAAGTGTTTGTGTGAGCTGATATAAATGACATGTGAAAAATCATTACATGAACAGATTTGGATTTTAACAAATAGCAAAGCATTTATTTGCAAGGCAATTTAACAAATTGGCAAGTGTGTAACAACTTCATGAGGACCAGGGATCTAAACGCAACACGTTGTTGTCTTTGTCTGTTTACTTGCAATGCTTTTGACATCGGAAACTTCATGGTCCTTTATTGTTTCCACTGTCCCAACAAAAGAGACCTTAACGTCCTACAATCGGTGCAATACATTATTTTCTTGGCTTCAGAACCTGCAATGAGTTTATTATGTTAGACGTGTTTGGAGAAGCCTGTAACGTGTAAGTATCGTGACTTTGTCAACCACCAACATGTTTGTCTCGTCTCATCTCGTTAACGAAAGTTAGAATAGATTTAGTCAGTTTTTATTTTTTAAGATCGTTTGTCACGTCAGTCTCGTCTTAGTCATGGAAAAAAGGTTCTCTAACAAAAAAATTTTGTCATAGTTTTCGTCGACGAAATTAACACTGAAATACAGTAAACGTTAATTGCATTAAGACGTTGTCATTTTACAGCACAAGCTCGTCACTTTGTCACTTGTTCGCTCGTGCAACTTTTTTAATATTTTTAACTTCAACTTTATTCTCTTGTTTTATACCAACCCATAGCCTTATTCTACTAACCCATTGCATTAGCATTTCATTTTACTTTATTTTATTACTTGTGCACTGCTGTCTTGTTGTCTATTGTTACACTGTCTACTGTCACGCACCAACCGCCAACACATATTCCTTGTATGTTTGACATATTTTGGCAATAAATGTTTCCTGATTCCTGATTCCTGAAGCTCTCATGTTACACTTACTCCACAGAGGCGTGCTCAACAAGTTAGCTGCAGTCCAAATAGATTTATTGCTCTTTGAATGCACTTTCAGGTATTGTTTTTAATTGTGCTTGAAAATCTGTTTGTTTTAGATGCTGTTTGATTAGATTCTCACCATAAATGATGAATCTTGTGTGAAATGCTGTGCAAATGGAGGAAATATGGAACATATAAATGAAATTCTCCTAATATAAAAGCATTTAGAGAATGACCACAATATAAAAAAAAGCGTGTTGTATGTTAACAGTGAGTGGCAATGATGAACTATCAAGAGGAATACATACCCCAACATCATCATCACTTTGGATAAGCTGTGAATGTCCAAACAGACGCCTCTTCAACATGGGCTCCAGGAGCGTCAGGTAGACCATGTACAGCAGTAGCAGGCCCAGAATGGAGAGGTACATTATGATGGTAACCTAAATATTCACAATGATTACTGATTGTTTCCCTTGAAATGATCCAAACACATGAAGCACAGCGAATTAAGTGAAGTGTTGGATCAGAATAATGAAATCAGTGGCAATACAGATAAAAAGGAATCAACAATCCTTTGGATATAAAGTTACCTTAATGGTCGCCGAGCTCCTCTCTTCAAATTTACACTCGCAGCGTAAACAGTAGGCCTCCACATCTTTTCCATCGACCGGCATCGGTTCAACCACATGGAGACAGTTACTGATTCGCAAGAAAAAAAAACATTAAGGAAGCAGGAAAGTATCACTTCATGTCATTCAGGGAAGTACAATGACACATCTCTTACGCATACCAGTCTTTAAGAGAGACATTTTGTTTGTAGATTTGACCCTCGATGTCTCTGTATGGCGGACAGATGCATTTACAGCGGATGTCTTCCGAATTCTGTAACAGATCACATATTAATGATTTTGCGTTTTTTAACTTGAGAAATACCTGCACAATTCATTGGTAACAGATACATGTATACATGTATACATATGTATACACACAAACAGTAGTATACTTGTCATGTGATACAACATGATGTCATGAACCAAAGATGTATATAAAGAGATTAGTAATACAGACGACAAACAAACTCATAACCTTTTTGAAGTTGTACTGTAGCCTTTTCTGCAAAGTAACGTTATGCTCTGTCCTGTTTACAGTAAAACTGTCCAGGTCAGGTCACCGTTACGTTTCACCAATACAAGATATGGATTATTAAATTGGCGACAAGCTGTTAAAGATGATGTTAACTTCCCTACATCAGTAAACACTTAGCTAGCTACAGTATGAACTCAGTGATCAGTCCATTGACCACATCGAGCTAACATTAACGCGGTCTTAAACAACACAAATGCTAACGTTACCTTCATCGGGCTTACAGGCTTATAATGTTAACTTTCCTTTAGCTAACGTTTAATGTAACGTTAGCTTTAGTAAAACATGCGATGTTATATTCATATTATATTAGCATCACAGGGAAGATAACATCTCAGGGAGATTTAAAGAGATGAGAATTCAGCTTAATCAGCCCTCATCACCATTTCTTCTTCCGTCAGGATAGCTAGCCTGTGCTAGTTAATACTAGCCTTACCTTAGCTGTCACTTGGTTTAAAAGCACAAAACAAGCGACAGAGAATGCCTCGAGGAGAAACACAGACTTCATTTTTAACTTTACAGTCTATAGATTTACAAAGAACTACTTTCCAACTATTTTCAAAAACAACACCAGCCGTGTAAAGAACCCACTAACACACAGCTTTAGCCATTAAGCTACATATAAACACCAGCCCGAGCAGCTGACAGTGGCTTCCGGAAATGGCGTTGGGTTTTCTTCCGCGTGACTAATGACAGTGATCTACCGGCAGGCGGTGAGCATTGATATTTAAGTAATAGTAACATTAATCGAGTGCCTGTATTATAATAATATCATTTGGTTTTCTATTGCATGTTAATCAGGGAATCAATCCACAACTCTCTAACACAGTTAGTAACGTTTAACAACTCTCAGAAAAATGTAAGAAAAAATCTCCGCCTGGAGTGGCTGTAAAACGAATGCACCCCATGATATGACATCATAGCAAACGGATTATCTTCGGTTGACGGTCGATAATTACGAGGTTATATGAATATATATAAAACGGAAACGTAACTTGATCTATTAAATTTGATATTTAAAATGAATAGCTCATTTTACATTTTTAGTTACATGCAGCCAGTCAGTAATTATAAAAGAAAGGATTGTTATATTTATCTTGTTGATGTGTATAAATATTGAAGTTCATGGCCTGTATGTGAATAAAATGCAACAAACAATTCAACATTTTCTTTTGGAGCTGCTAAAAAAAATGTTATTTGAGGAAAAGAAATACAAACACAATACGTTTTCTATCTTTATTTACAGCATATTAGATGTACAAAACCATAGAAAATATACATACATATGTTATCTAAGACAGGTGAATAGCTCAATTCTATTTTACAGGACTTTTCATTTATTTGAATGTACTCTGAACAGTTCTCTTTGGTCTCTAGTAAACGGTATAAAAATATATTGATGCATACTGGTGTAAGTTGTCTTCCGCACACCTTGAGGCAACATACACATGTGCCACCAGAAATTGCAGCAATGCTTGACTGTCAAAAATGTACGTAGTTACTACAATACATTAACGTTTCAACTAAAACTTTTTACATCATATACAAAACATTCATCAGAATAATTGCTTTTGTGGTGCCACTACTTCTTAAGTAGTGCTAATGTTCCCGAGAAAACGTTTGTGCTATTTTTTTTTTCTGACATTTAGCAGTATTTCTTTCAATTAAGTTCTACCTGTGAAAGTAGTGTTAAAACTAGATACACTATATATACAGCATCACTGACATTCAGGGTAGTATATCTGTTTAGCTACAGCATTTGTTTTTTTCATAATGATTCAATCAGCAAATGTTTCAGCATTTTGGCATGCGCATACTTTGCTCCTGAGATCGTGACTTTAAAAACTAAAGTGATTACAATCTTCTGTTGCTTATGGTAAAAGATGATTAGACATTTCCAAACAGAGTAATCCATATCACCATCTGTGGATGGCCATGTCGGTTTGTACTTTATATATGTAACTCTTCGACACCGATCATTTCTCCCTCTTAAAGCTCCACTTTCTTTTTTTCAGGATCAGTTTTATCACGTGCGTAGTCCACTCTTGTGTCACTCTATGTGAAAACACAAGGCTACAGAATACTCTAAAAGGCGTCAGTGGATAAAACAGATACTGTGGCCAGCATCTGGTCCAGGGTTTTTTAGTGAAAATTTGCATTAAGCGCCTGTTCTAAGGGCGAAGGAATCTCAGGACTTTGGAGCGCAGGAAGCGGATGAACGATTTGGGAAACATTTCTCTTGACTCCTGTGCTGTGTAGTTGAAGAAGTTCTGTGGGTGAGCCAGAACATCAAACAGCGCCCTCATCAGTTTCTTGTCCTGGTGAGGAAATGTATTGATGTTACAGACATTAATGGAAAGCAAAAAAGCATTCGATACAGTGAGTAGCAGCCTGTATTTTCACAAGTGTCCAAAAGAGGGCATTGCTCGCTCACTGGACCGCAGCACTGAATTGAGATTAAAGAGAAAGAACAAGTGGAGGATAGTACTGATATGATCAATATTGTCAACAACTCAGATGGGGTGTCCTGAAATGTCTGATTTTTATGTTACTAGTTCAGTGTATCCATTCAGTTATTTACTGACACTAGAGCCTTCTCTTTGTGTTTTGTAGATATTTTTCTATTGTCGGGGTAGTTTTGATGGATATCGATGTCTCATTTTGTTATGTTTCATGTTGCTATGAATCAAATTTAAATAACTATATTTATATGTTATATAAACAGTAGGTATATATAAATACATTATATTATGCCCAATTACATATTGAACATTGTAAGAACATATATATATGTATGTATATAACAACATTTCTCGGTAACTCAAGTTAGAATACCCGACACAAAGGTCATTAGTTTTCCTCGTTATTCATTTGGTCCCACATACCTTTAGAATTTCCTGGTGATTCTCTGAAGCGTATAATCTTCCATCTCTGACTATGTCTTCTATCAATTCTTGGTAGTCCTCTGAAAAAAGAATTAAGTACATAAAGTGGCTCATTGACAGGAACAAATAAACCAACCGCATGTGCATTACACCAATAGGTAGCAGGACCGTAGTTACAGCACAAAACCTCACATTTCTTCTTACCGTCGTATGTCACATATGGGACCTGGAAGCCTTTCCCACTGTTTCCCTCGTTGGACCTAAACTGTATCCACAGTCGCTTGGAGCGGGAAGTGAAGGCGATGGGACGTTCGTATGTCTGACAAGTCTCGTAGGTTGTCACCGAGTTGGAGAGCGCTGTGAAATGAGGATTTGAGCCCACGGGATGGTTTCTTTAATGAGCTTACAATTATTTTTTAAGCAATAATTAGTATTAACATAATGAGACATTATGCTGATTCTCCTTGGTCACATTGAGACCCGTGGAGAACTGTTTTATACTGCTTTGACCGCCATGATTTTAAACAACTTCCAACACTTCACCTTGAGATAATAGTCAACCTCTTGACGTTATAACATCCACAAACGCAAACACACACAGGCAAAAACTTACAGCTCTTTCTCATCACTAAGTAGTCGCCGCACTCGTCCTCAATAGGCAGAAAGATTTCTGGGACCACAATGAGGATCCTGCGTTTGGGCGGCGGGTTGATGGTCCAGGTGCATTCCACATTGGCCGGGTAGTTTCCTGGGTAGTTTGGGGACTCGATGAAGCCAGTAAAATCCCCAAGCTCTCCTCCACATTGTCGGTCTGTGAAGTGACACAGATGTGTCAGACAGTTTTTTTTGTTCTTGGTGCAGCAAGGTGAATCATCTGGAACTGACTCCCACATTTCAACGTCTACGTGCACATGTTTCAGAGGAACTACTGCGTCCCGACATACGTACTTTTGCATTGCATGAAGTAGGTGGAGCCGTCAAAGTCGGTGGTGGTATTTCCAGGGCAGGAGACGCAGTAGTTCTGCCCAAACTCTCCTTGATACGTGCCTACGGGGCAACGGATGCAGCGGTGTGTGCTGGTGTTATAGTAATGTCCTGGGGAGCACTGGACTGCACGAGCCAATGACAGCGATAGAGGGCTGTTAGTTGATTACATTATACACAAGAAATACACTGTCAACAAGCGACAACTGAAGCTTTTTCTTACAAAGTTTGTCATCTAGGAGGTGCCTCTATTTGAAATGACCACAGTGTCAAAATGCATCGACAATACAACAGCCGCAGAGGGCGGCAGAGTTCCTGTCGACACCCAAAGGAGCTCCCTAGTTTCAGCAACCACACAATTGTGTTGCAAAGTCAAGTGAAAAAATTGGTCTGTTTTAGAAGCCAATAACCACAGATGTTTCAAAACAACCGTCTAAACCCTCCGTTCATGTTAAATCAAGAGAGAACCCCCGAAACTAAAGTGGAGTTATTCATGTTTTACTCTGAAACAACAGTAACAGAGATGAGATTCACACCTTTGGTCTCACACTCCTGAAAGGTCACAGCACCGCTGTGCTTGGTGACCAGGTTCCCTCCACAGGGGAAGCAGTTGGTGCGTCCCACTTCTGGCTGGTACGCTCCCAGTGGACAGGGGAGGCACGGGACGAAGCCGTCATGAGAGTACTGACCTGGGGGACACTGACCTGCACACACAACCAAGAGTATAAAGTATAAGACGCCGGAAATTGCAATTCTCTTTAAAACGTTATAGCTACCTCACAGTAGCTAATTTGCTTTATTTGCTATTTTTCACATGAACAAAATATTCTCCCCTTCTACTTAGATAAGATAGAGCAAGCCAAGGCAGAAGGGATGGAATGATGCCATCTGCAGTGCATAACTCAACAGAGTGTAACCACACAGACGAATACAGACTGGCAGCCAGTGGGAGTTTTGCTGATAACTTGTTGTTTAGTCTGAAAGAAGAGATGGGATCCGGGATCCAGACACTCTGATAACAGCACAGGAGGAGACCAAAACATGGTGGTTCCTTCAGCTATTATTCCAAGCTGAAAGAAGCTCGAGTTCACCTTTTGAATTCAAATACATCTTCAACATCTAAGCTCGAGTTTCTTTGGCTTTACACAAAGAAGAACATCTGCTGAGGAGAGATCTCTATCAGTGATCTACTTCTTCCTGTGTGGCTCATGTTCACAAAAATACTCAGCGACATTTGTGTCTTTCTGTGCCTTTATTGATTTTTTTGATTTTTTTTAATTTGTTCCATGTTTTAAATTATGTTTATGTTTGGCTTTTGAATTCTGATTATAGTTCATTTCGAGAGCTGCACAATAAAAGTTTCTATTTCTTACGCCCTTAAATTGATTTTGGCTGTTCACAGTCAGATGGTGAAAAACAGAGAACATGATGAAAGATGGCTGGGATTTTGAGCTACGTAAATAAAACTGCCTTACCTTCACACTCTGACATGTTTCGGGCTCCGACTACCTTGGAGACGTCTCTTCCTTCGGGTCCAGGACAAACTTCACAAGACATCTGTGCCTCCTCATCCTGATACGTTCCAGATGGACACAAAACACACCTTCCCTGATCTGCGTCGTAGTAAGTCCCAACACTGCAGCTCACTAACAGACAGGTGGGGAAAAGGTTGTTAATTCCTTGATTTACTTGTAGCGTAACACACACACACACACACACACACACACACACACATGTGCATCGCTAACCATAAACAAAGAACATCTTCACTGAAGGCCCGTGATGTTTCTCCAAGGGGCTGCA